GTTTTTGACTAAGTCTTCCTATCTTGTTTTGGGTCTTCCAAGCGGTCTTTTCCCAAGAAAAATAACCAAATGTTTTAAATGTTTATAAAAATTATTTATTATTGACGTATATATTCGATCAAACACTAGGAGGGTTATTCGTAATTTCCGCAAACGTTTCTCGTATACTATCATAATTTATGAACGATATATGTAAAAAATGGTGGTTTGTGATTCACAGTAATAGTCATCGTTGTCAGTGTATATATATATTATGTGGTATTGTAAATGAGTCGTCTGATGTACTTTTCAACGGCGATAATTGATTCAAAACATTTGAAACCAAATTTTAAACCCTCGTGGACCATAGATCAGATCGTCCCCTGCAGACAAGTACTACTACGCATAATACTAATCCGTATAATCTTTCTTGTTTTCTCATATCGCGAGTTTTCCGATTCACCGCATACGCACGTACACATAGCGTTGTGTGTCCGTCAACTCTGTGACGACGAAGGTATACCCGTCGACCACGCGTATTAGTCAGCTTTTCTACCCACTGCTCCATATCCGTATATTGTATATATATATATATATATGTGTGTGTGTGTGTGTGTAATTAACGTACCCAATTATAATATATCGCTACAACGACCCCTCCTGCACGAAGAAGAGTTTAACGAGGTCTCACGGGTTGGTTGCTAAGCTCTATCCACATTACAGCTTTTCGCCTGTATACCAACCGCCATAACTACTTTTTGCATGAATGGAACTACCACTGAAGCCACCGCCGTCAGTACATTGGTAAATAAAACGGCTTACTTCCGGCTTGACGTACAGTACCGTTTCCATTTTAGACATCCAGAACTAGATAAATTTACATATATACTTGTATTAATTTCTGTTATGTTAAAATTGTGTTTTGTAGAAATGTGTGTGTGTGTGTGGGCGCGCGCGCCGCGCGCGTTCACTATGCAACTATTTACACGTATGAGGGTAAGGGCAACAACAAAAGCTCTGCGAATAAGTAATTTTTATTTATGTATATGTATATTATTAGGTATAACGTGTACCTATACATAAGTAATAAACAGTACTTACGCAAATCCTGAAACGTGGTCTTTCTGATTCTCGGTCGCGCGTGTCATACGTGATGCGCAAAATAATGATTTAAACTACATATATATATCTGTATTGTACTTACGTTAAAAAACGAAGATAAATATTATCACGGGGGAATTATTATTTCATTATTATAGATTATTACATAGAGGTGAGGTTCAATTTATTTAGGTTTTAATTATTTTTATTATAACCTAACATATTTATTGACTAATGGGGATTTTTTCAATGGGGAGAGGATTAAACCCCCAAAACGTCCCACATTACCTATGCCACTGATCACGTTTCAGAGTTTAATGCAAAGACATGTAAGGGTAGTAGTGCATTTGGCGAAGAAATTTCCCGTACTTCTCAAAGCGTATGTTCCGATCGTACGAAATATAATAATAATTCCGTTCCACTAAATAGTTCTATATTATTTAGTGGACCGTTTTTGAAAGTTAAGCACTGGCGTTCAGCGGGACGAATATATTATTATGATACTTACATAACAAAAGTTGTTTAAGTATTTTCCAAATAATGATAAAGTCATGCGTAGTTCTAATAATTTGAAGCCACTTGAATACAGTAACTTAATGTTAGAAATGGATTCGTTGTTGTTTGAAGTTAAGCTGAAGATTCAATGTAATTTAAGAATTTGAATATATATTTTATTTTGTAATTTATTTTCGTCTAATTTTAATTTTATTTTTTCAAATATCTATTTACTATATACCCATCCGTTATCTTGTACTCGCGTCACGACACCATACGATATCATTGTGCTATATGTATATTATATGTTTTATATTCAGTGTTATCTCTACTAAATTTCATTCATTATCCAATATTTTGACACAACATAATGCAACAATATTATATGTACTGTAACAATATAATATATAATACGTGTAAAATGCCTATCGTTTATTCTATTCGTATAGTCAGTGTTCTTTGATTAACCGTCTACTATTAGACACCGGTCATCTGTAATTTGCCCAGTGCATCTGGTAATTTACGAGTTACGTCTAACCTTGCAAGGTTGAAATTCGCAGAACGTTTAGGGAATAAGGACAAAAAGGATCATGTAGACAGGAACTGATGACTGCTGTAATCAAGTCGAAAGTGGGGAGCAGTCGAGCAATTACCGTGGAGATGTATATAACAAGTGAACGTTTCGAAAATGTACATTGTCATCGAGGCAATCTCTGTGTAATAAACTGAATTGAGATAACTACACAGGATTTATAAATTGTAATTGTAACTAATTTCTGCTGTCTCAAAACAATAGAACTCTAATACAAATACATTGAGTGTATCTTAAGTGACGTTCTAAAATATATCTATCACTATATATCTAGGTATAAAGCGTTCCATTAAAGTTAGACATTCGTTTTATAGTAATATAATATTAAATTAATAATTTTTAATCATCTATTTTAGACACCTTATAAATTTAAGTTTTACAACGTCAGATGGATTATAAAATGTCTAATGTGTTTAAATTTATTTAAGGGCATTCAATAATATTATAAACATATTAAATATACTATACTTATATATTTATATGCATTAAATACAAATTAAAAAATAATCTATATTATTTAAAATAAAATTACTAAGTTATTTTGAGTGTTAAAGAAATTTCTTTATACCTTTATTTTCAGCTCCTTGATGAATTTCAAGGTATTCTTTTTCTTTTGAAGAAAATATTTCTACTGATATATCATAAAATATAAAAAAGACAATAAAAATATAATAAAGAAAATTTACTTTTAGTATTATGCTATAATTTTTTTTTTTATTAAAAATAAAAGGTATATATTTGTTTTTTATTTAAATGGCATAAAACCTAAGTTCAACATTTACCTGAACAAAATGTATTAACTTTATGAATGGTTTATGAAAATTAATATATCGCAAATTAGCACATAAAGTATTTGAATTGTTTTATAATATCGATAATTTAAATTTATTTGAATTTATCTAATAGTTTGTGATTTTAATTTAACTTTTTTCTGATACATACTATGTAACCTTTCAAATCCATTGAAAGAATTACTGAAATCAAATAACTGTCCAAAGATTTAATGAAGTAGTGTGACATGGTTTATTTATTTAGTTTCTAAACCTTTTCAAAACAAAAAAAAGAATCGCACTACAAAATATACACCGATAATGGGATTATACTGCTTATTGTTTCATCCTGTGTATTACGTATACTGTTTCATAAGCAATTACAGTGGTTTCTCGGCAAACGTGTTAATAGGTTTGGCCTTTTATCGATCGCAACCGTGGTCGTGTTTGTGTTTGTGTGTGTGTGTGTGTGTGTGTGTGTGTGTGTGTGTGTGTGTGTGTATGTGTAGTTCATACATCTAAATGAAATTGCAGAAGACAGACTGTAGAACAAGTTAATTTTACCCCGTCCCACTCCTCGTTTGTTTCTCATTCGTCTATAGCCGTTCGATTACATTGTCAACAAAAAAATTTTAACAGACACATTAGTTTCGTTAATGCACACGTAAAAAATCGTATGTCCTTTATATTAATCACCGTTAGCGACAATACAACGCCCGTAATGATAGTATTTTTATTGCCCTGGACTGTTCTGCCAGACGAATTATATATACATTATATCTGTTTTGTGTGCAAGTAATGTACGTCAACATATAGGCTTATGGTCACACTATAGGTAATTTAGTTATAGGTAATCATTATAGGTACTCTGCATTTTTATAAAAATATCATCTCTACTTTATGAATCTATATTATATGTGTAAATCATTTTCTTAAAAGAAGACCGTTGAATAAAAACTTGAAATTGTTACGTAAATAAAATTGAAAAGGGAAAACCGTATAGAGACGAAGTTCTATCACGTTTCGAACTTTATTAATGAGTCCCTCATCCAAAACCATGTATGCCATTGCATTTAAGTCTAATGAAATATTCGTAATCTTTCCTCTCCGAATATCAACATCCATATCTACGTATTATTTGTGTGTGTGTGTGTAAATGAGACATGTACACACAAATGATTCCAAATAAGTCAGGATTTTCGAAAAAAAAAAAAAAAGAAAACTTTAAAATATATTTCGAGTCGTAATAGATGTGATGTGGTGGACTACTAGAGGAAAAATAAAATATTTCAACTGTGCTTTAGGTACCTATATTATGAAATGTATTTATTTCTGTCAAATATTAGACCAGCATGTCCATTTTCACTGGTTAAAAGTAGGTGCTGTTGTTAACAACTCTGTCGTTCGTCTTCCGCCATCTAATTCCTTTACGGTCTGAAAATATTTTCTGTTGGCGGCTTGTCAACGTATTATTAATATAAACCCATACTTATTAAATATTTAAATACTTTTTCTCTATTTTAAATACATTTGAAATACCTTTGGACAGAATATATTTCAAATATACTTTAAATACTTTTTATTATATTTTGAATTTGAAACAAAATTTTTAAATAAGATTTTTAGATTGGTTTTTCGATTTTAAAGAAATCCACTTATCGTCATCGAGACAAAGTAACGATTAAAAATGTTGTTCTTAACAAAAATATTTAAATATATTACGGTAGTATTTTTACAAAACATTGCATAAAACTGTACGATAAGATTTAAACCACACTACCTACCCTGAAAAAAATGTCCTGGCTTCTCTCGTATTACATTAAAACTACTTAAACGCTAAAACGTGAACTATGTATCTCCAAATGTATTCATAAATATACTGGTATGCCTGTTAAAATTAAATTTATTAAACCAAAATGTACATAAAAAATGTTTTTACCGGGGCACTGCCCTGGTATTAAATGCTTACAAGCCGCCTCTGGTGTCACCGCGGTTAGATTTCGACCTAACGTTGCGCATAAACGTAGTGTTTGTAACTAATTCGACTGTTCTTTTGTCCGTAGGGCGAGTCATGAGGGAAAAACAGTCGAGTGCTCACGTTCCCTGTACGACCCGGCCGTCGTCCGGCAGCCGTCGCCGCCACTGATCCGTCGCTCGCGACCACGAGCAACGACGTGGTTCGCCGCCACACCACCACCACCGCCGCCGCCATAACCACTGCCACCGCCGAGGTACCATCGTGGGTGGTACGTAGCGCGACGAGACAATGAAAATCGCGTCGTACCTGTACCGGCGCAAGTCCGCGCTGCTCAAAGGCCTGGTGCTCGGCTGCACCGTTTGGCTCACTGTCACCGTGCTGCTGTTCGTAGAGGACAGGCGCATCACACCGGCGTCCAACGACGCGCCGTCGGCCGTCGGCGCGAGCTACCAGCAGCTACCGGTCGCGGCGGCGCAGCGTCTGTCGGCCGCAGCTGCCACCGCAGACGACGGCGATAACCGGCTGCTGGACGACGAATTCCCGCTCGAGGGCGGCGTGGAACAGCAACCGGCCGCGGTCATCATCCAGCAGCAGCAGCCGTCCGCGGCTAGGACGTCATCGAAACGGTCCCACGCGGCAGCCGATCTACAAAACGGCCAAGGAGTCTTACCGCAGCCGAACGACGACGGTGACGGCCGCAAGGCTTACGGCGAGATGGGCAAACCCGTTGTGTTGCCCGCCAACCTGACGGCAGACGTCAAGCGGCTCGTCGACGAAGGATGGAAGAACAACGCGTTCAACCAGTACGCCAGTGATCTCATATCGCTGCACAGATCATTGCCGGATCCCAGGGACGAATGGTGAGTCCCAGTTATATTAGTCCACACCCAATTATACGTATAATTGATTAAACCGTGCGGGGTAGTGTCCCCCGAGGATTTCACCCTCTTGCGTATCGATACCATATCGATTTTAATACATCCACGCGATAAGACTTGATCTAGCCTAGCAGAGCAACCGGCCTAATAGCCTTTAATGATCAGCTAACGGCTTTTCGAAATCAAAAGCCAATTAGTAATATCTTATAATTTAAAAAATAATATTTCCATTTCTAAAATCGTATCTCAACCCATACGTCGTCAGTTTTCAATGCATAACCGTTGCTTGCATAGTTTTTAGTTCTTTAGTTCACTCACAGCTTCGATCCTAAACCATCCTGCCTTAAAAATCGGTTTACTGGTGTCTCTCAAAAACTTAGATACACCCGTGCGAGGTTTCCGTCGTAGTTATTCCTATGATATAATATATTTTATCACTTACAGAGTTTATCCCAACACCTTGAATGTTATAATAAGAATATATATGTATTAAAATATAGTGGGTCAGGAGGTTTTTTGATTAGATAAGAAAAAAATCGAAATCTAACCTAAGATGGTAAGTTGTTAAATAATTGATAAAACGTATATAAATGATAATTTGATTTATTTTATAAACTACAAAATTGGGTGCTCCCTGTAGAACGAGGGTTCAACGAATTTAGCTGACGACGTTGGGTTTAAAGTATTCAAAAACTGCGTTGAATGGTAGAAAATACGACAAATTTGGCATGGATTAGATGAAACAATTCGAACATTATTCGGGATTACTAAAATCGTCTGTGTATATAGTATGACTTTTTTTGCGTATCTATATGGTTTCTTAGTTGCAAATAATATGCACAAGTAATTTATTTATTTTATTTGTTTATAAATTAGTCTACTGCAGATAAAAATATTAAAAATAAAATTTAGAATAATATAATCTCGTAATATTGATAATACAATGTTATAACGTACCATATTTATGAATAGGTACCTTTTTTAGGTTGTATTATACGTATATATTATAAAATGCAAACGCTTGTTGCCAAATCGATCTAATTATTTCATGTGTATTTAATTTAAAAATATAGTTATAAGTATTTGTTCAATGTATGAAATTCCAAGATCTTACATTTATCCTCTAGGTAAATTTAATGTTAATCTGGGAGAGTTTACATAGGCCGTCCTGTAATTTAACATCGTCGTCACGAACTATTAACTATTCGGTTGTGAACTTTAATCCTACTAATCCTTTTAGTGGAGACCTGAGAATTTTAAAATAAACATATTTATTCACTTTGAATTAAGGATTCCAAGGACCATAGAGCTTCTGCTGTAGTTGGCTAAGCATTTATGATACTTTAATTACGTTTGTTTCATCGGTTATCGGCAGACATACCATTGTCGATAGTTTAGAAATATTTTTTCGAACAGCTAATGTATTTATTTTAAAACTAATGCGTTTTAAATTTAGTCTGTCTCCAAATCATTAGGTTACATGCACAATAACAAACTATTTGATGGTATTCATTCGTAAATTATACCCATCTAATAGCTATAACATATAAAAAAGATAGTTATATTATGATTTATTTGTTTAAATTTATTAAATTCATAGTATATTGAGTCGTATAATATTATTAATACTGAATTCTAGTTACATTTTCTTGTAATTCCTATGTGTTGCATTATATAATGTTTAACAATAATACTATTGATTCATCTTCTGTAATATAGGAAACATGCAATTTTAAGAATAATTTACTTCCCAATGTTTTGAAATTAAATAATTTTACATTGTTAATATATATATATATATATATATATATATATATCCTTAATTTTATTCCACTTTCCATGAAATTCTGATTTAATTTTAAGGTTGTATGTTTATAAATGTTTGAATCCTACTGTACAAAATGAATCTTTCGAACCGTTTAAACTCAAACGATTTCGAAATGTTTAAAAAAAAATCTTTTAGTTACTTTTGCTCTCTCAATATATAAAATAATAATTGCTTTGTAGCAACTGTATTAAATGCCATTAATTAATTTTTTTGTTGATCGTGCCTTGTGTATCGAATGTACATTTTAACTAGGTACATATTAAATGTATGTATAAATTATTATGTAATTAGCATGCAAGAATTATCAATTGTCATGTTAAGGTTTTCTCAAATCTAAATTATTTAAATGGCACTTACTTGAATAAATATAATTATGAAATAATAATCAATTAATTATTATCGTATCCAATCTCTGTTCAGTATACGTATAGTATGTAGTGACAAATTTTTACCAAATAAAATCATGACGTGTTATTATATTGTAATAAATATAAATTGTTCTGTATAAAACGAGTTCACAGAAAGTGACTAATGGATGAAAAATGACAATGACGGAAAATACTGCCCCCTTCGACCACATTAGAGGTATACATTTATTATACGAGTACAATATTGAACATGCATAGTATAATTATGCTGAGCGATTCATTTTCTAGCGCCAGTTGAGTCATCCAACTATTTACAAAACAATATATTAATGACTAATCAACGTATTTTTCTACTTGCTCCAGCATTTAATGTATACAAACATCATTTTTGAGTATCTCACCGTATAAAGTTTAATAATTAAGTAAGATTATAATATTTTGAATCGCTTAAAGTTTTTTATGAACCAATATTAATATTATATTTATTTTGTTCCATTTCAAAATGCATTATATTGTAGAATATGGAGAAACTAGTTTGTAACTCTTCTATTTTTTCGCTTCATATTTGTGAGATATTTTATAATTCATGTCTTATAGAAATTAGTTTCGGAATACTTTTTAAAACCTAGTTTTTTTTTTATAATTTATCTCCTTTGAATTACCAACTACGTATCGGGAAATGTCAGAAACTTTGATTTTTAGGATTCTATAATGGATTTATGTTTTTCAGCTCCCTGGTGGTTTATTAATATAATTTAATTTACTTCAATCATGTGAACAATACTTAGTAGATTTTATTATGGCCATTTTTCATATTCAGAACACATTAGCTAACGTACTCGTATGTTCTCAAAATGTTACTTTTAAAATATTTGTTATAAACAAATTGTGTTTTGTAAGCCATTTTAAACTACTTAAAATTTAACAAAATTATCTTAAAATATAACATATATTACATATATTAATTGTTTATATTTCACAAAAAGTTATGTAAAGTCATTGTTACTGCTGAATTTTCCGACCATATTTCTGCAAAATATTATACTATTAGCATGATTATATGAAATGATTGTACTTTTTTTTATATATATTTCCTTGATCATGGATACTTATCTTCACGAAATATAGTAGTTTTAAATAATATTAATATTAATAATATACTCGTATGTGTTATAATATTATAAATTGTTCTTATAAATTAAAAAAAATGTATTCAGCTAACCATTTAAAAATATTCAAAGTCAGCAATATTTACTGTATATAATTTAAAAATATCTGTGATTTCTTAGTATATATTAAAATAAAACAAGTATTTAAAATAAAATAAATAATTTGTCATTCCATCTGAATAATATAGTTACTTTGTACATTTAAATTCGTTATAAAGTTATATAAATTACATTGTTTTTCTTCTATATCACGACATAATTTTTACATTTTTTACTTATCATTTTTCTGATGAAATGAATTAATTCTTTGTTAAAAATGTTCCTAAATAAATTAATTATATATAAATACTCATATAGACGAGACTTAAAAATAGGTCTCTGGAGTATTTTATAGTGCTGACTGAAGTTAATTTTTTCTTTAATATTGTCGAAGAAATCCTTTTGAAATTATCATATATATATCAATACATAAATATTATATTATTCATTCGTGAAAAAATCTTAAATGGTATTAGTAAATACATGCAATTTAATTAATTTTTTAATTCCTAAAAAAAATGATTTAATTTTAAATAAGCATTCTGTGTAGCCATTATTTGGATCAAAAATATAACATGTACATTTGTATATTGACATATTTAGCAAATGAATCATATGATAAAATATGTTTTACTATTATTTTTGTATACAGGGGTAAAACAGTTAAATTTTCACGTGACTGTGCGAAACTGAATTAAGTTATTAAGTTAAGTTAGCCTACTGGAATTTTTAAAAAGATCTCTACGTTTATTTATTTGTTTTTTGATGACTGTATAGCACCGTAAGATAAATTTTAACGATATCGTTATAACGCACACGCGTAATTATACACCTAATGAGTTATTGTGCGTCGTAACAATTTCTATCCACAAATGTTACCAATTGAAGACGATAAAATTTTTGTATCCATGCTCCTATATTACTCATACTATTATACACATGAATGCAATTATTGTGTACTCTACTGGTATATACGTGTTTAATATAGACGTACTTATTATCCATACATTAAATCAGACAAGTTGAAACGTTTATGTTTGATTACGTTATCGATAAAAATCATTAAACCGTTTTTCAGTTAAATTATACATGACTTATTTTTTACGGAACACAAACTATATAATATATGTACTACACGTACAGTTCGCTAACTAGGTATGTGTTTGGTACGATTCCGTGTTACTGTCAATCTGTCGAATATATTATAGGTGATGCGTTTTATGAATATATTACATTTAAGAAGCTTGATTTTATCACAATCAAGGTGTGGTTCGGCAGGATTAGTTGGGCAACAATAGTCCCATTGTTAAATAGAGGAGGAGGAGGTCGTAGCAATAATATACTCCGAGTTGAATGTACTAATAGTTAAGGTATATCATAGATAAATATGCCATGTGTGTACGTGTAAACAAATGATACTCACATGTTGGAACAGATCTTTAACGCACTTAGATATTTCATTTCGGATTTTACGCACTTATGTGTATTTAGTTTTAATAAAATTCCACTATATATGTATAGTAGTGTTGCTCTTCGTATTTCGTAAAATAATGATTTTGTGGAAAAATTATCTCCTAT